CAATAGCCCTTTAGTTGACTTCAAGCTTCACAGAGAGGAGGAGGAACATCAAAGTGACAAAAAGTCGAGAGGGGGGGGGGACAGAAGAGTGTTTCAAAGATGTAAGAGACAAACACAAAGGTAGAAAAAATGTGAGGTGAGTACTATGAAAACAGTCGAATATGGCATAGAGTGAGGTGATGGTAGTTTGAAGTGAGAAGTCAACTGCCAGCTAATAGACATTTTTGCCCAGGGTGCACTACGTGGAGGTAAGTCTATCGCACACCCCGCCTAACATCTTATGTTCCCCTAAAAAACTTAGATCCCCCTAAAGGCGGACTTGTCCCCAAAATTAAACTTGGCAACGCCCCTACAATTGGGAAAACCTTGATAAATATGAGACTTTTAAGAATAATCAACAATATTCTATTTAAATTTTGTGACAAACTTGATAGAGGTGAAAAGACAATTTTTGAATAGGCATTTCACGTAACTTTTAGTTGAAACGCTCGTGATTAAGACGCCAATTATTCCACCAATCAATACCAACTCTCTCTCCCTCCCTCTCTTAGACGAAACAATTTATGTAATCAATCTGTCTACCGAAAAAAAGACCGTAACCACTTATTTTCTAGATGTTGTTTGTTACACCACAGACTTAACTTTACAAACACAGTGATAGTTCCGATCACCGTGTTTGAACGTTGTTCAAATAAAAAATCCAAGTAAATGAATGGCAATTTTAGTGACAAAAAACTACATTTAAAAAAACGTGACCAAAATAACTTGGCAGAGCGATTCAAAGGGAATTCAAATCAAGGTCATGTTGTAAATTAATTATGAGCCTTTAGTATGCATTCAGGTTTCCGCCTCCTTTGTTTGCCAATTCCTCCGTTAAAACTTTGAGGAGGTTCCTCCGATTTGAAAGGAAATCCATTACTCCCGAGTTTGTTCTCCTCCCATTCCATCATGTCATGATTTCCAAAGTTTTCGTCACCTTCCCCAGGCTCATCAACGTCACGGCATATTGGCAGCTTTTGAGTGGAGAATGGCCTCTTCTCCTCCTCCTCCTCTTTTCTCTGCAGACTGTACACATAGTCCCGCATTTTTAGAACAGTTGAGTCGTTAAGGCGCTTTAAGTTGATAGAAGCAAATTCGTTGTCAGTAATTAGTTTAATAATATGCAGCTTGTCTTCATTGGGTAGGGCAAGTATCCTCTCAAATAAGGACTCGCGTTCCGCCTCTGTGAGCACTAGATTCTCCTTACCTTGTGGACTAACAGAGAGTTGGTTTTGGCAGTTTGTGCTCGTTCCCTCTAAATACAAATATATCAATTTACTGAAATAGCAAAAATTCTTACTCTCCTCTTCAACCATAATGACGTAGGACTTCAAAGCGTCCAGAGTTGAGTCCCTCATATACCTCAAATCCATTCTCTTAATATCAGGGCGACTAAGACCTTGGCATTGAGGTTCATTATTTTTTAAAATATTAATTATGCAATCAAAATCGCATTTGGACAACTTCTTAATCTTGTTAGCCAAATCGTCAATTTCGTCATAGGACATTCGCTGACAGCCAAATTTTTCCGCGAATTCCCTTTCAAATGTGGCTTCAAATTCCCTTGAAATCTCTCGCTCCAATCGTGGATTTCTTTTGTTGTCGCGGTAGACTTTGCACATTCGCCTCACATCGACGGCAAAATCCTCCTTATCGTAGTATTTTCTGCGTTGAAGTTTCTTTCGAATCTCCTCAAGGTTCGAAGGTGCTCCATTCAACCCTTTTTCATTACTTCTAGGCTCTCGGTAATTGGGTTGGAACATGAAATTGCACATCTGCATAGAATTGGGGAATTGGTGAAAAAAAAGTTGGTATGGCTTACGGCATATTTGGATGATCGAAGTTCCTCCACCAATTGCCTACATTTCTCCAACTCAACAATCATATTCATTGAAAACATACTTATCTTTGCCTCCGCAATAGACACCACCTTACTCAGTAGATATTTGAATTATGGTCAGAACTGGATGAATTTCTATCAAATTGAAGTGAAATTCACAAAAAATTTCTAATTAGAGTTAAAGCTTAAGACTAATCAAATAATAGGTTTCTTTTTCTAATCTCTACTAATTTGCCTTAATTTTATCCTTTTAAATGGTTAATATAAGATCGACGGGCATCATAACTTAATATCGATAGCTAGCGGTAGTGGTTTTGTTAGCCAATAATTGTGTTACCAACCTGCATCTGAAGATTTCATTGGCTCGTAACCCGAGCGACATTGGATCGGTTACCTTGATAGGGGTGATTTCTTCGTTAGTGGGCTTAAATGCCTGCCTGTGAGACTAGTCATTCACTAATCAATAATCCATCGCGTAAGAAATGGGTTTCGGGAGTTTCTTTCGAGTTTCTGTCTACGTGTCATTGTCTTTGTTTCAATGGTGAATTGTCCCTCGAACGCCAAAAAGCTAATAGTGGGGTAAATAAATGAGGTGATCTGACTTGAAGAAATGGTGTCAAACCGAAAATCATATTAAGTCGTGATCAAGTATTAGGTGTGAATCACAACCTCCCTGAACACAAGCCAGTCCCTGATGATAATTCTCAAACTATTGCCAAACAATGACAAAAACGTCGATTTTTGTTATCTTCATAAAGCTCAAAACACTGAACCTGAACTCGAAGAGCTCCGAAATCAACCAAGTTCTTTCCAGTTTGTAGACGTTCCATTGCTGTCAGCTCCAGGTCTGATACATTTTGATGTTTCAACAGATATACGAGGACCCATTGTTTCGAAATCCTTCCAACTCAACGTCTTTGAACAACGCAAAACTTCTTAAGGACCATGTGGATTAGCGATCTTGACACGAGGTCACCCCAGTGGAGCTGAACTTGTGCTATTCTTGACTTGATTGCAGTTTCAACATATTGCACATTGAGAAATGCGTTGACTTTTTACACTTTGTCGTACGTCGGGAGGGAATACAAAAACATCCGTATTTAAAGCTTTAGGAATCGGAATATCATTTTACTCCAGTCTTTATGATATAAACTATTGCGAAAGTAAAATCGTTTGCGTGTAATGAAGAGATAGATCTGCATGATTTCCTTCAACACCTTCACCAATTAGATCGCAAAGCTTATCCGAGTTCGTTACGCTCAATTGAGTCCATTCTCTTACAAACGAACCTTTTACCTGAAGGATAACTCACTGGCTTCCAAGCTTCTCTTTAATCCCCCCCCACCCCTCCCACGTAGTGATATTTTTACGCTCATATGATTCGAACCCTTATCTGTCATGTCTACACGAGCTTATCCAACCTCCCTTTTTCTATAACTCATTTAAAGGTACATCGGTGGACATTTCCCACGCCCTTCCCCTTGTATTTCCACTCACACACACATATATGGTGAAACTCCGTAATCAGATTCAATTTCATCTCCACTGCACCC